ATTAATATAAATTTTTTTAAACAACGATAGAAAATTTTTATAAAATTATATTATATAACAAAAATTAATCTTTCATACATTCACGAAATATATGTTAAAGAATCTGACAATCTCTACTATGAATTGAAAAAAATCCAACCGAGTAATAATAAATTAATAAATGTTTGATCTAATAAATTCCGTTATGGGGTAGATTATGGTTGAGAATCCCGTTTACTCTTTCCTGCAGAGCCTGCAGTTCGTCATCCTCCACGCGAGTTTTGCCACTGATCACTCGACTAGACGCGGCCATGGACGCTTTCTTGACGTCAAGTTGCGTTAACGGTTGTTCGGCTTGCGAGCCCGACATAGCTTGATTGCCATCACGCTTTGGATTAATGTCGTCCCGTCGATTCAGCGGTGACGACATTACCTGTTCCCTTCGCTCCTTATCAAAAAGATTTTCGTCTACGCTCTTTATATTCGGACGTTCGACAACATTTTTTTGCTGTTTTTGCTGAAAATCATTAGCCGAGGGCTCGTCAATCTTTCGTACAATAGTTGAAACGATGTTGCCATTCTTTTGAATGAGTCTCCTGTTGTTGTTCTCCTCCTTGGCATCCTCGTTCAACGTCTTGTCTTCCGAGGGAGCTACTTTTCCGTCCGCGCGATAGATATTGCGAGGTGCGTATAGTAGCCGCAGCGGACTTACCTGTTGTTGCGGTTGCGGTGCTAGTATCGGTTGTGATTCCTCTTTCTGCAATGCTGATTGTGGCGCCGACGCCCGAGGAGTTATCGGCACTGGATCAGGAGATGTGCTTTTTCCGTAGGACTTCTGAAAAACAAGATAACAATTACAGAGTACTTACGCATTTTTATATAATAGTTCTTTTTTTTAAATTAATCTTGAATATTGAATATTAATCATTTTCTATGTAACTATTGATTGATTGTATTCTATAAGATGCAATTATAACCATCTTAAGATGGTTTATATATTTATTTTATTACTTATTTTATACAAATTGTAATTGGTAAACCGATATTACATGTATATTTATAGCATGAAAAGATACGTACCTTGGCGCTCTCCAATTCGCGCTGAAGCTGAAAGACTTCCTTTCTAAGATGATCGATGGTGCTATCGGCATTGCCGTTAGTTGCCATCAGTTCGTTGTATTTGTTCTCCAGCTGAGTCTTCTCATCTTGTAATTCCAGGTACTTGGTCTTCAAATGCTCCATGGATTTCTCCTTCTCCTCTTTCGCCTGCTGGATGCGACCATGTAGATCTTGCAGCGTCGTTTTCAACTTATTAGTCTCGTCCAGTGCCTGTTTTTCACGTTTCTTACATTCTTCCTGTAGATCCTGATGCTCCGTCTGCAGGAGCTGATAGGTCTGCTGAAGCGAGTCGAACCTTCGCATCGCCTCTATGCTATCCTTGTCGCGTAAGGACTTCTCTCGCGATGCGCGCTGCTGCAATTCTTGCTTCACCGCAGCGTTCGAACTCTTCTCTTCCGCCAAGGATTTCTCCAGTCGAACTTTGTACTCGAATATAACTAAAAAGAACGTATACTGATTATCTCGAAGAGCCTACACGAAAAAAAAATGCTGTTGCTTCAATTAAACATCGACGTCACGGGCTGCCACAAACATAGTTATCCAATAAAGATATCATTGAATGAACTATATATGTTCGTGGCAGCCCGTGATATCGATGTTTAATTGAAGCAACAGCATTTTTTTCCGTATATGTAAACGAAATGAACAAAATTCAATTGTCAATAATGTCAATCAAAGAACTCAGAAGAAAGCAATCAATTTATAATTTATGAGATTTGCCGTAACGTTTTAACGTAAACTTTATAAATTATACTATCTACAATAAATTCTTCAATCTATAAGATAAATAGAAGCTTTAAAGCCCTGAAAGTACATATTTGTTATGCCCATATTTTCAGCGCCTACCTTGCAGTTGGGCGGCGAGAGCCTCCTGCTGATGAGCGCATTGTTCATGAAGGTCCCGTAGCCTGGTCATCTCCGAAATGGCGGCACGATAAAGGAACATCAGCAAGAGAGCTACCACTCCACAGCTCCCGTACAGAGCCAGGCGGCCGCCTCGGCCTCTGCCAAGTCGCGAACCGCTCATTCCTATTGACAGTAAGATATATTCTCTTGTATTATCTCTTATGAAAACAATCGAGGTTTATACGCGGATTCATATCGACATGTTGCATCATAAAATGATAAGCATTTGATTTTAATGTAATATATAATGATAGATACATTTTCGCTTACGTTATCTCACAGCTCATCTATTAATATATATATTAAAATGTAATTAAATTCTATTCTAATCATACTAATTAAAAAAAGTTTATAGAAACTATTCCTATACATCCGCAAATTAGTATAAGGGTATTAGTATAAAATTAGTATAACGATGAGATATATAAATCTTTCAGCTATAAATCTTGATTTTCTATACTGCCAAGGCAGTTGTTAAGAGTGTTGTCAACAGATACAGAAATCAAGAACCACGAATAATATTAAAATACGTTAAAACATAACAACCCTGTCAAACATAAACACAGTAGTCATAAAACTAAATATCACATAAGCATTAAAGTTATACTTACATATCTTATCGCGTTATTTAATTATATAATTATTTTCTCTACAATCTCATTTCACAGAAATTTCAAAGAGAAGTCAACATACTTGAGATAGTTTATCACATATGCAAAGTTTGATTTGTGTATATAGAAATTGGAAGCAATGACGACCAAAAAGAGGACAAAAATATTAAACACGATGAAGCAGCGGAAAGAGAAAAAATAATTGTACTTGATTTAAATATATATATGTATATATTTATTCTCTTCAAAGTAAATGAAAAATATATTTTTTGCCATTTCTCCTCTGTAAAAGAACACTCTGTAAAAGAATTTTCTCTTTTTGTTTGTTTTTTCGTGAAACAATCAAAATATTTTATTTTATTTTTCTCGAAATAAAACTGTCTTTTTCAAAAAAGAAAAAGATCTGTATAAAATGATTCAAACATCTTTATTTGTTTTCGCAGGACACCGTGTCGTCAAGAAGCAAAATTGGATAATGGAATTTTCGAATACCAAAACGGAAATCATCAATCGTCAGAAACAAAATCGTAAGTAAATTATTAAGCTTTTCGATTGAAGGTTTTTAGTTTGTTATGTCGGAAATAGAATTTCTCGCATCAACATGTATAAAGGAAAAAGAATAAAAATATATTAGATTATCAAAGAACGGATGAAAAAGATGTTGATCGAGATATTCAAATATGTTTTATTAGTGTAATTTATATAACATAGCCTCATTAGTGAAGAATCGTTTAGCTTTCACTTTTCTTCTTTTCTATCTTTCGATTTCCTTTTCAGTTTTCGAAGTAACGAAAATGTTTTGGTATCTCTTGTTCTTGCTAGTCAAGCACTTAAGAAATCTGTAAAATATAGACCAGACCATACAAACATAATAATGTAATTCCTTTATTCTTATAAAACTGTATTACCAAAACTACTGAAACTGAGAACAAAATAGACAAAAGAGAAAAAAGATCAAACAATAAAAATTTTTCTCTGACAGCTGTAAAATAGAAAATTGATTTTACAATCATTTAAATTCTCTTTATTCCGCTTTTAATCATCAATTTCAATTTTCAAAAGAAATAAACATTAATTTGAGAAACAAAAAAAATTTTACACCTTTAGAATTAAAACATATTTCTATATTTCACACACCTTTGACAGTTAATTATAAAAGCGTATTTTTCAAAATCTATTCCCGATTTCTCGAAGATTAGATACTAATTCATGAAAAGGGATTTTCTCCAATTCTTTTTATCATAAAATGCCTCCGCGATTTACAATATCAATATCCAAGATAAAAATTATTTATAATAAATATTACATAAACTAAAAGAACAAATAACTAAAATAACAAATTATATTAATTGCTAAATAGATTTACAAGCAAATCAATTTATTATGTCTGTGTAAAACTTGAATACTTTGGAACTTTATATAAATCTTCAGTTGCCAATTACGAAGATTAAATATCCCATTTCACAGAGATGGATTTCTTTCAATTCATTTTAATTCGTCCATCTTTTATCGGATCACCTTGCGCGCATTTCTTTCTCGATTCGTGCAAATTAATGAGAATTTTCACCGTAGAGCACGAGGAGAGGAAAAGCGGGGAGAAGATGCAGCGGGGTAGTTAGCTACTTAGCAGCTGGATTCGAGTTCACTGACATTTCGGAGCACGCGCGATGCGAGTCTTGTTTCGTTTACGGCGACGACGACGGAGACGACAAACGGCGATGCACGTGTACCGTACGCGCGGAAACGTGACGCCCGCTCGAAAGCCGATTCTGCCCGGCTCTCTGCATGCCTCTGGTTTTGGCATCCCGCCACACGTCGAGTACTCACAGAATAATGAATCTTTGATTACATACACAGGGTAATCTGGCAGAAAATACAAATATCTTCTCCGTGGTTTCCAGAGATAACTCTTAACAAAAGAAGAAAATATCGCATCACAATTCTATTCGAATTCTGTATGTTTATCGAAAACGAATATTTCAACAATATAATCGGTTAAAGAATAATGAGCGACAAATCAATCCACGTCAATTAATCATTAAATTAAATACATATGTAATTTACACTATAAAATGTAAATATGCCACTAATATTCTTTGTACAACAGCTACGGAAATATTGCGACTCCAAACACTGCAAGCAAATATCACCCATGTTTATCCATCCATACTATAAACTGTTGACATTATTGTCGCTGTTGACACTGTAATGCTGAATCAACAGCTAAATGTTTATTGAGGAATTATCAAATACAATCGCATCATATTGTGACTATTTGTAATAGTTGATTACAATGCGAAAGAGATTTGTAGTTAAGACACCCATTGTTGATTTCTGAAAATCAAATGGAGGTACATATTTAATCCAAAATCTATAATTCATTGACAAAACAGTTATATTTTTTCCCGAATATCTCTATTTAAGTAGCAATAAATAATGCAATAAATAATGCATTGTTAGAAGCATGTACGATTCTTTGCGGCAACAAAAGAAGCGAAATCTTTTTTTTACTGGCAGAACAGAGTTCATTTATTCATCGACTGTCGCAATAGTAATTTTCAAAGTCGTCTTAATATCCGTAAGAAATACCATTTATAACTGACACAAGCGGTTTTGTTTACATGGAGCATACTTCTGACGTGCAATGCTATTTATCTCTTTTTTTCCCTGTAATTCCTGGCAAAATAACGTGCTTTTCCTTACCTATGCAATTAAGAATTATCTTGTATACGTCAATTAGATACTTACATTAAATCCATTCACGTCACATGCATCATGTACATTACTCTACACTTTTAACTTTTTTAAACTTTTTTGTCGATTCGCTCCATTAAATCTACAAAGTATAAAAACTAAGGACAGACTTATCGATATAACATTACTATATCGTGAGTGGATTAATCTTCAAAATAGTTTCTCTTAATTCTATGATGCAGTTTCGTAACGAGAGTATTAGTACCTAAAGTAAATTTTTTTACAAAACCTAAAAATAAATTTATTTATTATTTATTATTTATTTCGGAAATGGGAAACTGTAAAACTGTTAATTCCGTATTTGAGAAGCAGATAGTTTAGTTCAAAATTTACCTAAAAAAAGAAATCGAACACATTTTTAAAGCATAAAAGGTTCAATATTATGACAGTGTTTAAAAGACACTTTTTTTTTAATTAAAAGACTAAAGAGTTCTTCAGTTCATAAATCTATTTGTTAGCAATTAAAATATCGGCAGTTCTTCAATAATTATTCCAATAATACTCTTCGCAACGATAATATTGATATCTTATTAATAATGAATATTAATTTTTTATTATTGTGTTAGTGTTCTTTTATATAGAAAAAAAAAACTACGTATTTATATCATATTCGATTGCAGTTCTTGTAACTGTAACTGATTGCACTTAAACGCGAGCATCGCAATATATATATTATTAATCTAACATTTAAATCTTACTTAACGTTTTATCAAATTGTAGGAATAAGATCGTCTCGTGATACGGATGCAAGTAAAGAAATGTATCGCTTAGGATAAGTGATAGAAGAAGTAAATCGTTTTTCTATCTGCCGTGTCGGATTCATTAGTACACGACCATTAACGGGAGGCGACACGACACACGACACGTAGACAAGCCGCGTGCCTTCCAGTTGATTATCCCGAGAGCGGCAGACCGGCAATCTAAACGAAAATTCCCTAAACGAAAGAATTTGCAACGTACACATGGAATCGCGCGGATGACATTTCATTCACAAAGTCCGTCACTGATCTTTCCGAAACTATCATCGTCGTTGTAATCTACGTAGAATCATGAATAGCAAGCATATTAATCGCGAATATCACATATGCATTCATTTGTATTTATATGAGGAATAAAAATTCTTGATGCACCAATGCAAAATTAACTTTAATTCTCATTAGTGTAAACAGCTATTTAAACGGTCATTAAAAAGAAATATTATAAAAACGCATATCATTATAAATAGTACAAGGGACATGAATAATGTATCCTTTTATTAGAAAAGTGTGCATTTAACGTTATTCTAACATAAGAATCGTGAACTCGCTTTGCTTGTAAGAATACTTAAACACTTCTGAGAAATAAGAAAAATATTCTTCCATCTGAGAGAAACATGTAATTTCATCATAAGTACTAAGATTACGATAATCATAAATGCTCATAAAAAAAAATTAGTTTTAAAAAATTCTCATTAGCTTAAGTTTTCATCAGCAACAGTTCAAAAAAATAAATTATACCAAAAAAAAAAAAAAAAAAAAATTCTTTCAACGATAAATATCATTAATAATTTATTTACAAGAGATAACCTCAATTCTCATTAACGTAACCGAGATAGGAGAGGAACGTAAAAAACGATATCGTGAAAAGAAAAAGAATTTCTCATACAAGACCACACATATGTGCGTTGACATGACTCTAGAGTGTCGTTCACGGTATGTTTACGGTATGCATGACATATATGCATATGTACGTACCTCATGTACCCGGTGGACGGCGAGCCGCACACTCAGCTCTTCTTCATCGCGCGTCCCGGTCTGCCTAGCCAAACGTCGATCGCGGTGGCCGCGTCGAAGGCGAAATGGCAATGACGCGTCGTGCGAAGAAACGACGGCGACTCCTCGACGGCTTCTCCTCGTAGCGGTGTTCGTAGCGGCGGTGGCGTCGTCGTCGTCGCGCGACACCACGCTCGCATATGGGTGATCGCGTACACACCACTCACGTCACGTCGAGGAAACGCAGAGCGAGAGCAAACGAGAGTATCACGCGAACGTGATCGGAGACTCCTCGCGTCATCGAGAGTAACGCGCACCATGGAGCGAAAATGCACACGGTGTAGACAGTGAGCGCGTTCAGGAAACGCAACCGTTGAGCATCGTCTTGTCAACGCTCGACGTTGATTTGTTGGTTCTAGAAGTAAGAGCCAACCACGTTCGATTGCTACCCAACGGTTGTGTCTCCTGAACGCACCCAGGAAAGATCATGGGAAATATTCCACGGGTAGAACCTTCTGCGCATGCGTGAATGACGTCACTGCTCCACGTGTCCGATCATGCAAGTTTTGCGTTTTGTGCTCGCTGCCAGCGCGTGTGGAGGGGATACGCACAAGCGTGAACCGTGTACATGTAATGCGCAGAGCGTTCTGCGCATTACATGTACACGATTCACGCTTGTGTGCGTATCCTCTCCCACGCGCTGGCAACGAGCATAAAACGCAAAACTTGCATCACTTCCGATCTCGGCAGACTCGTGTCAATTTGTGTTTAGGTGCAATCACGGAGGTAAGGACATTTTTTAGAGCTTATATAAATTTTCTATAGTCTTCGTTAATATTTATGCTAATGATATATTAAATACCTGTTATATCTCTATTTAAGAATAAATAAGATTTAAATTTATTTACTAATAGAAAATGTTGAAAGAAATAATAGAGAATTCAGTTTTTAAATCTATCTTGTTTATGCTTAAAGAGAGATATAACAGGTATTTAATATATCATTAGTATAAATATTAACGAAAACAATAGAAAATTTATATAGGCTCTATATTATTTCTTTCAGCATTATCTATTAACAGATAGAATTTAGTTTTTACTCTACATCAGCATAAAAAGTGACTGCTCATAGTCCTCGTCGACAATCTTCTGCAGATTATCAAACTTAAGTGGTAAATCCTCCAAATACTAGTCTAGCCTACTTCATTCTGGAATAAAACTATATAATTGTGCGTTATCTGCTACTATTTCGAGCTTTAAACAACCAACATATTAGCAGCCAGGATATTATAGTCAGATGGTATGACTGTGATTAAAAATTATTTTATTTTAAGATTAAATCAGATTGTTGATTATATAGAAAGAAAAATGCAACACAATTGTTCTCCTTTCATAGGATATGTATAGTCAAAGAAGTCTGTATCAAAACGGAGTACCTAATGCTACAAGATATCAATCAGGATTACAGCCCCAGCAAGCTAGGCGACTCGATCCAGAACACATGTCGAGCCCAGTACGAATTTAAAAGCTTTGTCAATCCAATTTATTTGTCGATATTATCATTGTATCCCAATATAGATCTAAATACATTTGTTATATACAGATTCAAGTAATGCAGGATGATCAAATTATGAGAGGTGGAGTGTTTATAACGAATCAGAGAGGTTTGATACCACCTCTGGTAACGACAAAGTTTGTAACTCAGGATCAAGGAAATGCATCCCCTAGATATATAAGATCCACTATGTATCCCTACTACTGCTGATATTATAGAGCGGGTGTATATATTATAATATTGTGAATCGGATAAGCTAGTAATTTAAGTATTTCATTTGGCATTACGACGCATCCACATCTTTTACAGGCCAATGTTCCCTTTGGGCTTGTAATAAGTTCGATGGCTCGTATCGTTCAAGGAGAGTGTGAACCGCCAATTGTGGATATGGGTGAAATTGGGCCGGTACGTTGCATGCGTTGTAAAGCATACATGTGCTCATTTATGCAATTTATCGATGCCGGCCGAAGATTTCAATGCATATTCTGCAAAACCACTACAGAAGGTAATAAACAGATATTGATGCATTTTTTTCCGAAGGATTTGCAAAGATCTTTGCACCAATCACTTATTTATCTATACTTCTATTTTCTCTTTGTGTGTTAGTTCCAAACGGATACTTTCAACACTTGGATCATACAGGTCAACGTTTGGATCGTTATGAGAGACCAGAGTTAATGTTAGGTACATTTGAATATATAGCTACAAAGGATTATTGCAAGGTAATGTATCACATTATTAAAATTAACTGCATAATAATGAATAATAAATTTATATGTTTGTGCGTAAATTATTTGGTAAAATTGCTCTTTTTCAAGCTTTTCTTTTTTCTTTTTTTGTAGATTAATGTGATGACTATGATTTTAGACATGTGAATGTGCTGGTAAATTATTAATATTCCATTCATCTTTACCGATTGCTGAGGAGCCTGGAAAATTGAAAAACCGTGATGATCATGAAATACTTGGTACAAATAAAGAAAAAACAGGTATGTATGCCGTGTGTGTCATGGTATATTTAATTTATAATATACACGCGCGCGTGTGCGTCTGTGTGTGAATTTTTATTTGCAAAATAATTTTTTTTCTTTTTTTTTTTCTTTGCAGTACCACAAAACGATGTCTATAATAATTTGGGTCAAGAATGTGTCGCTGCAGGTTGTAGTGTAGATCTGTTTATCTTTAACAATTCGTATGTAGATGTGCCAACAATTGGTCAAATTTGTCGCCTTACTGGAGGAGAGATTTATAATTACACTTACTTTCAGGTAACCACTTGTTGCAATAAAAATACATGTAAGAAATAATTAGATTAAATTAGACTTTACATATGTGTGTACATGCATATTTACTTATTTTAGAAGTAATACATGCATAGTTACTTTATTTTTATAAGTAAAGATTACATTGAAGAATATAAACTTTTTGTTGCAGGCTGATATTGATGGTGAAAGATTAATTTCGGATGTTATTAATAATATTAGTAGACCAATCGCTTTTGATGCTGTTATGCGAGTACATACATCTAAAGATGTTAGGGTGACCGATTTTTATGGACACTACTTTATGTCCAATGCAACTGATATGGAACTCGCCAGCATAGATTGCGACAAGGTAGTCAATTACACAATTATACATTATAATTAATATTTTATTACATAGCTTATAATTACAGGAATATATTAAAATTTTTAATTAGGATATTAAAGAATAGAGTTATCTTAATGTGATTATGCATACTATATTTTATTTAATTAACTTGATTTGTAATTTACAAGGATATTGGAATAGAAGTTAAACATGATGATGAACTAATAGATGACGAAGGTGTATACATTCAAGCATACTATAGCATACATTTATCCTAGATTATTTCCGTTGCACGACGTTGATCCTCAAGACACAGAATTACCACCAATGTTGCGCTGCTCTATTGACAAATTTGCAGACGATGGCGCGTATCTACTTGGTAATATCAAAGTTACATACTTTTCAGTCATATATATAACTCGTACATTGTTGAAGTTATTTTAACTAGGAATAATTATTACATATTATTCTTTAATAGATGTGAAAAATGATCGATATCAATATTTTATGCATTCTGTGTGATTTGTTTTATATTTAGAAAATACTATCCATATGTTCTTATGGTTGGGTATGGCACTTTCCTCCCAATGGATACAGAGTGTCTTTGGTGTGCCTTCAGTGGTCCAAGTCGATATAAATCGCACTGTATTGCCAATATTAGATACTCCTTTAAATAATAGAATCACAAATATCATCAATCGAATACATGCTGAAAGGCATTGCTGTATGAAAGTAAGCTATTTAATGTAATGCATGAAAATAGATTCCGTTAGAGTATAATATAATCTGTTTTCATCTGTTTTTCATTTTTAGTTAACAATAGTAAGGCAACGTGAGAAACTGGAACTGTTACAACATTTTTTGATTGAAGATGGAAGAAATGATGGAAGCCCTAGTTACATCGATTTCCTATATCAGATGCAGAATGAAATAACAACACTTCTTAGTCAGTAAATAATATTTTAAATAAACAGTTACTTTGTATTCGAATTCCAACTCTTTTGTAACAATGATGTGTGTTACCCACATGTCTTAAAAAAAAATAGTGTAGTATATGGAATGGGCTGGGAAAAGGGAAATTCAAAAGAGTAATAAAAATATATTTTTCAACAAACGGAATGCCTTCTTCTATTGGAAATGTTCTATATAGAATTCAGTTTTTAAATCTATCTTGTTTATTTTTAAATAGATATATAACAGATATTTAATATTAGCATAATTATTAACGAAAACAATATAAAATTTATAAAGACTTTTAAGAATGTTCCATGTTGCACCTAAGCACGAGTCTGCCGAGATCGGACACGTGGGGCAGTGACGTTATTCACGCATGCGCAAAAGGTTTTACCCGTTTAATATTTCTCACGATCTTTCATCACTGGGTGTATTCCGCAATCGACTAGCTGGTGCTGCCGCGCTCGGTCCACCAATAGCGATCGAGTGTATGACAGCCGAGCGACCTATCGGCGGCGAGGTATCGACTGCAACTTCACGGTTCTCCATCGGACGCACCGCAAAATGCACTATTTTGCAGAGATCGCGTTGGAGGTAGTTTTTTTTCTTTTCTTGCAAAATAATAGAATATTTACGAGTAGATATGGGATAATATAGTAACTGTTTGTGAATTATCTTTTAAAGATGTAAATTTTTTATCGGCTATTACAAAAGTTTGAATATATTTCGGCGTCACTATCGTAATTGCACTCTTTTTCTCTCTCCAGCATTTTCGATTATATTTTTCAATATTATTTTGTTCGCAATATGCCTTTAATATAAGTATTGTAACTTTATTGCATAACGTCGTATTTATTTTACATATTGTTTCTACTGCAGTTAACGAACAGAACGAAAAATTCTTCCAACGATAAGAAAAGTCACGATCATTGTCCTCGTTGGACATTTTTACAGAGAAACGAAATGACACAAAAATATCCTAATATTTCCTATTTTTATTTATCAAAATACAATCTATGTGTATCTAAACTATTTACTATCTTTTATAATAGATGGAAATACAACAGATATTGAGATAACGAAGAGATGAAAAAAGGAGAGAGAGAGAGAGAGAGAGGGAAATATGTGCGTGAAGGAAGAGTGAAGTTGCCGCGGCGCGCAGGAATTTTTCGTCGTCGGCGCGATCGACGGTTGGCGGCGCTGCGGTCTTTCGGGGCAAGGCTCCACGGGCGACGACTGCTCAGTCAGGGATCTCGTTTGCATCGTATCGGTTCGCGAGGACTACGTGCGATCGCGAGCGGTACGCATTGCACTCTTTTTCCCTCTCTTCAGCATTTTCGATTATATTTTTCAATATTATTTTGTTCGCAATATGCCTTTAATTACTTTATTATTACATGTTGTTTCTACTGCAATTAACGAACAGAACGAAAAATTCTTCCAACGATAAGAAAAGTCACGATCATTGTCCTCGTTGGACATTTTTACAGAGAAACGAAATGACACAAAAATATCCTAATATTTCCTATTTTTATTTATCAAAATACAATCTATGTGTATCTAAACTATTTACTATCTTTTATAATAGATGGAAATACAACAGATATTGAGATAACGAAGAGATGAAAAAAGGAGAGAGAGAGAGAGAGAGGGAAATATGTGCGTGAAGGAAGAGTGAAGTTGCCGCGGCGCGCAGGAATTTTTCGTCGTCGGCGCGATCGACGGTTGGCGGCGCTGCGGTCTTTCGGGGCAAGGCTCCACGGGCGACGACTGCTCAGTCAGGGATCTCGTTTGCATCGTATCGGTTCGAGAGGACTACGTGCGATCGCGAGCGGTACGCGAGAGAGAGAGCCCAACGTTCATCCGTGTCGCTCTCTCTCCCCCCCCCCCTCTGTGATTTTGGTGAGCGAGCGACTCCGACGAAAAGGGACGTCCACCTCGCATCGACCACGCATATATATATATATATATATATCGAGGCATATAGTCGCGCGAAAAGAAGAGAGAAGGAACGGCCGGAAGTAGGAAACCCGTCGACGGCGGACGTGCGCTTTTATTCCTTTCTCCTACTCCTATCATCGTTCTCTCCCTGTCTCTCTTTCTCTCTCTCTCTCTCTCTCTCTCCGCGCTGACTCGCTCGCGCGCTCTCCCTCTCTCTCTCTCTCTCTGATCCCCTCGCGCGCGCCTTCTCTCCTCTGTCTCTTGCATCGGTTTTCTCGTCGACGGCCGTCGGGCCGCGCCAAGCCAGACCGCGCCGAGAGCCGCGCCTCCTGGACTCGCGCGCCGCCAGAAACGGCCATCGCCAACACCGGTGACAGTGTGATGTTGTGTCGTTGCTCCAGTGCTGTGCCCGGTTCCCGTCCACGTCGCGAATATCCGTCGTGCCGTCGACAACGCCTGTGACTGTGACCGTGACTATCGTACCGTTACTTCTGCCTTTGCCGCTGCCGCCGTCGCAATGTGCCTCGTCGACGTGCCTGTCTCCGCCCGCGAGATGCTGTGAGTAAACTTTTCACAATTATTTCACATTATATTTATAAGAGAATCGTCATACGCGAAGGATTAACATCGGCCGAAGGACACCGAAGGAGTCGCCGGACATCGAGCCATTTCGGAGCCGACGGCTATGAATGAATGCACTACGTGCTTCTCGACAGTTTATTATTATTCTCGCATTTCTCTTGACATCCCAGAAGCTCCAACAGACTTAATCTCTCTTCTCAGGGCGGGTTTTATTTTTCTCTGAATTATATTCGTGTCCCTGAGAGAGAGAGAGAGAGAGAGAGATAGGTCCACCGAATTTCCCGATACAATCTGCTCCTGCAATAACAATCTCTGCCCGGTCCTCCTCCACCCTTCCCCCCTCCTTCCCGTGCTTGCATCCCCTTCCCGCATATATTATTAACCAACTTCTCGCTCTCCGGTCGAGAATCGTTATGGAGCGGAAAAACAAGGCGAGACGACGGATCGCTCCTCCCGAGTACAGATTGCGAAATCGCGCTGTTTTCTATCTATCGATTCCTCTCCTCGAACGATACGTGGCCGCCGACGTATAGTAGCCCTTCGCGGCCCGACGGTCGGTCCGGCGCTCGGCGCTTCGTCTTCCGTCGCGACGTAAAGGACGTAAAGGAGCGCGAACACGATTCAGCCACGAAAATCCCATTTCTTCCCCGTTGTCGTACAAATTTTCTCTTTATGGAAAATGTCCGTAATCAATCTCCGGCGAGTAGTGTACGCGACGAGGCACATTTCAAGCGCGAAATGATATAATGGCTTTGGAAATATCGATCTCATGTCAAAAAAAAAAAAAGTATCTCATTCTGTTGATTAAATTTATTGAAGAGATTGTTGTAAAAATTAGATCTCTCCCGCGTGAAAGATGGCACGATTTAATGAGGAAATATTTGTTACATCGTGACTGAACTTTCCTTTCTAGCCATTTTCCGACTTTTCCACGAAACTTTCGAAAATCGACATTTCAGGCTTAATGATTTATGCCGTCTCTGAAATATTTAATCATCAATGACGCGCCTGAGATACCTAATCACTTGACGTAAGAACAAAAGAGGAATTTTCGTGACGTCGTTGATCGCGAGTGAGGAACGTAAAGTGTGTCGCGTAACAGTTGCTGCGGAAGAAACGCAGCATTCTGGGAGACGATTGATCGTATCGTAAAAGTGCACCGTGAAGATGGATGAGCCGTTGGGTGGAACGGCGCTATGAGTCATGTTTCCTTCACTTTAAGGGAGAAAACCGAAAGCAATAAAGTAATAACACTTCATAAAACAGGTCTCCGCGTGAACAGTTACAATGTTATCTCGCGATATGTCAAAATAATTACGAAACACAGCCACATGCTATAACAAAATCTCTCTCTCTCTCTCTCTCTCTCTCTCTCTTCTTCATTCTCTCTATTTCCTTTGATTTAAATTTTACCCCCCTCCCCCTCATACTGTCCGGTTAATTCGATTTTTCTCTGTTCGATTGGGGTTCCTCGTTTCTAGATAAATGTTCGGATTTAACGGTAAAACATAGACATCAACGGTAATCTTTTTGAACAGTTGTTATTAGTAAAAGCGAAGAATGCTTAGTGTCACTGCGCAGTAGGACGAGCCTGGCCCCCTGCAAGTCGACGTTAAACATGGTGGTTCATTCCGTCGTCACGCCGGTCTTTTCGGAGGCTTTTCCGATCGCCGTTTGTATACACTTTGAATTTATCATGACTTTCTCCATCATTGCCATTTTCGTCATAAAATCAAATGTAACACTATAACTTTAAATTTGACATTAGAGTTGAGCAATTTATACGACTAGATATATATTAGATCATTTTTCGAAGCATGGGTCAACAGTAAAATAACTGAAATGTAAAATAGAAATAACGTTGTAATTAACTAAATTACATTATTTTTTTCTAAAGCCAGTCAATAATTGTTCAGTTCAGATTTAGCGACTAGAATTTTCCCAAAATTTTAATTATTTGATATTTAATAGTGTTTTTATGTTTTATTTATATTTTTATAAAATTACTCGACTTATAATTTTAAATCTTAAAGGCGGTTATTTTAGTCATTTTTGATGGTTGAAATGATAACGCGATTCACGGAATTATATTGCAAATATCGTCTCGTTTCCATCTTCAACATTTTACAAGAAATCTTTCGCGATAATTTCAGAAACGAATCGATATACGTGTACTTTGTTTTTATTTCGAAATATATTGCGTGTGAAATACAATCATTCATTATATTTGTATCGTTTTTTTGTAAGAGAAAAAGAGAGACACATTCGAAAACTATAATTTATAAATTATAACTGTATGCATTATCTATAAATCATTTTGCAAAAAAATTTGTTGTCATATCGTGTTGTATTATGAAGTTTCTTCTACGTCGACGCAAGATCGTAAAGGGTTAAAAAGCGAATCAGGACGCACGCGATGCGCGCTCGCTTCGTGAGTTCACGTACTCGTCAGCACGTTTTACACGTTATACATGGCGTTACGAGAGACGGTAACCAATCTTGCCGGCCGAGCAGGGCTTCTCAAAGTCTTTGCTCATTGGAAAAAGAGAAAAGTAGGTTCCGCATCGGCATAAAATTCGCAGAACCCGAGATCTCTTTTCTTCCACGTTTTTTTTTTTTTTTTTTTTTTTTTTTTTGCGTTTGAATACAAAGTATTCTCTTTCGTTACAATTTAATTTTGAAAGATTTAAAATTAAAATTATAAGAAAGAATTGTGTTTTAATGTCATGTTTATATGCCATATATTACAGCTGTTCTGTGATAGAAAGATTTTATTCTATTTAGAATGAAATATATTGTTAGAACTTTTAAACCCTTTAAAAGAAGTTTTTTTGGTGCGGCGTAGTTATTGCGTCGTACGTTTGAGTCTTTAACCAAACCGAACTGATAACGTGTAAATAATATTTATGTACGTGTAAAATTTTTCATTTTGAGAGGGGTAAGGCATTAAAAAGAGTTTGCGACGGATTTTTATATGAAATTTAGATAATTTTTTAAAAATTCAATAGTATTTTTTACGATTTATTGTAAGGAAGAAAAATTTAAAGTAATTTGTTAAATATAAAGTTAATTTTTTAAATATTGCGCACCAGAATTATTATGAAAGGTAATATATGTCTCGTTTGACGCGCCAACATGTCTGTTGAAATTAATCTTATACTACATTAAGTACATTGAATACGATTCTCGTGTCACGCAAAAACAAGACTCAGGATAGCTACATTATATATGACAAAAATAGAAAGGAAGACAGCATCAATTATTATAACAATAAATATCCATTAAGAAATAAAATTCAAAATTATCTGTGGAAATTCTGAAGGAATATGAAAGATATTAAAATCGGGAATTATAATTAACAAAAATTCAAGAAACAATTACATACGTTAAACTTGAAAAGAGCTGGTAAATAAGTTTTGTCAGAGTTATAATTCTTAAGTATGAAAAGTCTCGAGTTTAGCACGAGTCGAATTTCGAAACGACACAGGCTTTTCGAAAGTGCATCCATACGTTCAACACGAGCGGCGATACGTATATATTATGAAAGTCTTCGGCGGTTGACATGTGACACGGTCCGATGTGACGTCATACGTCGGGATGACGTTCGAAATTGAAGTACGAGAGCGAACTCGCGTGCGTCCGCGGGAGATCGGATCTCTCTCTTTGCGAGAGAGGCGTCGACGACGGTGAGCACGGATGCCGTCGACGTCGACGTCGCCGTTGCAAGTAGGTCAGCTGGACTCGCGCGTTGCGGAGGCACAAGGCGATGTTTGCGACCGCGAGATCGTTTCACTGTTGTTAGCTAGCACGGCTAACGGAGGCGATCTCGCCTTAGCACGACACCACGTTTCACCGATCTCTCGATCTCATTTGATAGAGATCGAGTTGTATGCGAGAGGGATCAAATACGCACTGATTACGTAATATTTTAGCCTCCGAAATGCAAAGGAAATAAAAGAACACGAGAATACGGACGGATCATAGATAAAGTTACGTTCGAAAATGTTTATTTCGTTAAAAGCGACTATCGGATTTATATGAATTAAATTTGTTTTTTATTCTCTTATTAAGATATCATAATTTCTAGTAACAGTCAATCTTGTATCAAACTTTGTTTTATTATTTCTTGAGTATTCGTATTGACGTCATTCGGTAAATTTGTAATCGTAAAAGGTGATTTTTCAATAACAATTGCGGTAGTTAAATTCAATTGTCGCGGTGCTATTATCGTCTTCTTGCTGTATGCGGTTACTCTTTATGTATGTAGATACTATATATATGTTTCTTTAATTTATATATTATTTTGGACGCAAAAAAAAATATTTTTTTTTTTTTACTTTCTTGCGAAGAGAAAATATATCCATTGTTTGAAATAATAAATTAAATATATCACATACACACAGTATCTCAAATTTAATGCGTCAATTATTATTGTTTCATATAGACATACAGATTATTCACAAAATTTCCATTTTGGGAATAGTTTGTGTGTCTTTATCAAATAATAGCAACTGACAGATTGGTGATAGAGAGTTAAAGAATGGGATATAGATAAATAGGCATATCAACAAGTATGAACTCTATAACGTAGAGTAAGCAGTATTAATTATGCACGCTTGGATTACATTTACATTGCCATGGAAATAAATCGATCGGTCGCTGGAGTCGAGCAAGCACATTGAGAGCATAGTTGAGAAGAATCGGAAAAACCTATAAGGAACGTTATGCGCGAGAAAAAGTTATAGCTCTTCCAAACTTCTAACATAAATAGGATCTCGCACAGTTTCGCCGAGATTTATTACGTTCTTCGAAACGCGCATCTACAAGTTCCGGTAAGCAAAAGGAAAATATGGGTTTTCACAGTTTTTGCAAACAAGGTTGAAGTATGGATGAAAATGAGCGTACATTTGTTGAATTGAATAATTATAATTTATTCACATATTAATTCTCTCTCTCACATACACACATACACACACACGTAATATATTCATCAAAATTCTGATCATCAATTTGCACATCAAATTTTTTCGAAATCTCGATTTAAAGAAAAAAAAACAGAACAAGATGAAAAAGATAATTTAGGATAGAGAAGATTAGTAAAAGAAATTATTATTTACAATGTCTCTGTGTATATTATGATTCATATACATATTGAATTTCTGATAAACAATTTTTTTTATCTTTCATTTGTTTATATTTGTCTTTGTTAATCTCAATAGAGCAACTTTACACACTACAATGAAAGAATTAATTGCATTTTATGTAATTGAGAATAAATGAATACATATTTCGGCAACATTGTTATCATCGTAGATAAGGACGATTTTGCGAGTTCAAAATAATCTACGATTAAATACAAGACTGTCGCATCGATAATTCAACAAAATTAAATTAATAACGAGATAATTTTATTTTTAAGATTGTCAATATTTTTTCAGCAGTTACTCTTTCCTTGTATAATATCGATAAGTTGCATTGACGATCATTTCGTCATTTGATATAAACTTGAAAAAATTACTTCATGGAAAAGAGATATCGATCAGAAATAAAAAGTCGCGATGACTTCAATCTTTAATGCTATAAATATGCATAGAAAATATACATATGAATACATTGTATATTTTACACTAATTGTTATTATGTAATGATAATGATCATAATTTATTTATTTATCTTTACTTCTTTACGTAAACAAAATAATCTTTATCTCTCATATTAACTTCATAATTTAAAAATATTTAAAAATATTGCTTGTAATATTGATAATTGATAGCAAATTAATGTGATTCTTTAAATTTACAAATGTATATAATTACATTAATTTAGCGCATTTATTTCGCACAACATTTAATTATTGATATTTCTCAATAATCACAGATATTATCGAATATTATATTAATATAATATAAAATATAAAAGATCTTATTATTATTTTTATCAGCAATCAAAGCTATCGTACAGCGATAAAAACTATATTATTGACTGCTAGTATTGGATTTTCCTGATGTGAAATGAAAGAATAGTCGAAAAAGAAAGGCCGTAAAACGGATTTTTATGGACTTTTCCATTCTGAAATGCGGTATTTCAACATTCCTTGCGAATACTGGAAAGTAAGAACGACGATTGAATTTACAAATATTCGGTTATTAATTGGAAAACTGGCGAGGCATTATTAAGATGAAAAAATTTAAAAATTTTACCAGCGAATTTATTCTAAAGAGACTTATAAGTATATTGGCTTTAATATTCTCTGCGAATTCAAAATTTAACACGGGTGATAAATAGGAAAGATGAAATTTTGTTGCGCTCTCTCTCTCATTAATATAAAATATAACAGACTTTATTATCGTTGTTATAAATGGCTATAATTAAGAGTTAATTATCATAAAATTATACTCGCCTGTGTGTAGAAAATTATACGAATAATAATTCTCTGTTTCTAATTAAAACTATATAAAATTATGGAATGCATTAACTGTCTGAGATCTAATTTCGATACTCGTTTATAAAAATATTCCGATAAGTTAATATTGATAGATTTAAAAAATATCAATAATAGACTAAAAAGTATCGATTTATCTTTATCCTCGCTTGAAGCATTATTAATCCTTATTATTTTTGCTACGAACGTCATCTTTTTAGCGTCAATAACAAACATATTTAGATTCTTGTCATATATATTATATTGATATTGATTAGACACCGAAGAGTCCAAGCTGAAATCGATATTTGTCACCCTCGTATACGACATCCTTTGTTAGCCTCGCATCAACAAGGACACTCGTGTGGTCGTCCTTGTCGATCCCCGATACACTCGAAATTGATAAAGCGATTTCCAATGCCCCTAGATTGTTTTTCGTGGATTTTTCATGCGACTATGAGCAACTATCGGCATGAGATCGACGTGTATCGGAATTTCCACTTTTTCACCTGTTGAAAATTCCAGCCGATTCCCGCAGGGAATTTAAACAGAGGCGATACCGATGCTCTCTCTTCGTAACGTTGCGTCCAAGTTCTATTTCCAGGTTTCTCGACGTCGCGACGCCGCGTTTCCCGTGTTTCCGGCGCCAGCGTCGATGTGCGTGACGCTCGATATTTTAAGTTCCACCCAGAACACGGGGCGGCTCTCCCCATGGCCGATTCCCTTTCCCTCTCTTTTTGCTCTTCGTCTCACCTTCTACTTAATGTTACCATTTAATCCTAGAAATTTACGCACGAGTGATCTTGTCTCTCCAACAGATTTTCAATTTCCTACTTTGTTAGAGAATTATCGGAGGGCGCAAGATATATATGTATATTGTGTCTCATCATTAAAATTCTTTTTATTTGTATTGTGCAAAATTTTTGTGCATTCTCGCGTTTTCTCAGCTATGTTACGTAATACATTTTCTCAAAATGCTCTTTAAAAAAGTCTGTGAAACTTTTAAATTGTAAAAATTGTAAGAATAACAGTTTTTACTAAAGACTTAAATAGTTATTTAATTTATAGTTACATAAAGTATGCATTTTTAGACTTTTTTAAATATTTTTTAGCTTTTAAATATATGTCAATCCTCTAACATTTATACTCATTCGTATTTCCCTTTGATTTCATCACCCGATCTATATTTGCTTATTCTACATTTAATGTTATCAATTTTTATCTACTTTTATCTATTTTTGATTCCGAATCTTGTATTAATTTATGCGCTCTCTTTTTCTCCATTTTTTTATTTTCCTTTGTATTTTTTAAATCCTGTTTTGTATTTTGTACCATCTGTATTATTTTCTTTTTTATTGTACATGTACATTATTCTCAGAGTATTATTTGTTTTAGAACATGCAGCGAGAGATTCTCTTTTGTTCTATTCTTTAAAAAGATTTTCTTTTGACACTGGCCAAGGCGAGGTGCGTTGTCTCGAAAATCGGCTCTCGATCCTCGGTGAAGGCAAACACCTTTCTCTCTGCCATCTTCTCTTTCTTTTTTCTTCTCTCTTTCCCTCTTTTTCTTCATCTTCTTTCTTCTCGACCTTCGCCGAATCTCTGTTCTCACGTTTATATATGACTATCAAACTTCCGTATGACTAGCTAAACGAAAGCTCCTAGATCACGATTTTTTAAATCATTCAAATGCAAACTAATTTTGCAGACTGCACTTGATTCACAAACGCCACGGGGTCACTCGTCATATCACTTTTTGCCTCGTATTTTATTTATGTAACTGATTTATCAGCAAACAAATATTAAAGTAAACAGATCATTTTATTATATAATTGCCGGAAACAAGTGAGAAAAAATATAAATTAAATGATAAAAGTATAAATATTTTCTTATGATATATAGATCTCAGTTAATTGTTATGTTTTTGTTGTGCAACGAGAAATTTAATTCCAATAAATAATAGTATCAAGAAATAACAATAATATTTCTTTCAATGTTATTGATTTATTCGAATTTTGTCTGATTTAGAATTAAATGATGGTGCTAAGGGATCCCACGGGTAAGGATGAGGGAAAGGACACCCTCTGCCGACGATACCCCGAAAAGGGCTCCACCGGCACCAAGCAGAGGTGAGTTCACGTTAATATTAAACTACTTTAATATTAAAAAATTCTTACATATTGTATAATTTTTTACGATTTGTTTTTAAATTGTAAAAAAAACCTGCTTTCCAACGAGAAAACAGGTATAAAAGATATTTCTCGTCATCAGTTAGGGATTCACAATTAGTGCCACATCAGCATCATAATTCTTCTATATATATACAGAGTTTCATGTATCTTCGTTATATCATATTTTGTCGATGCACTTTTTCATGCTACTATTTAGATAGATTTTTTCTTGCTGAATATTTTTATGGTACAACCTCAGATCAGAAAAAATGTTTAACACTACTCGAATAAAATTAGCCTAAATAGATAACGAAACCTGTTGCACATTCATCTTTATGTTAATAAAATACTAGATAAAAGAAAAATTCAATCAGATTTTTTGTCAGATATGTAACATTGAAAATTAACAAAGCGACAATATATATTAATAATTTTACGAAATATATTCATATAAGATCGTATAAAATACACAATTTTTTATACAATAAATTTCTACAAAATTTTTACTAAAAAGAAATATCGATTTTTTATATATTCATCACAAAAAATTGTATATTACAATGTACGATACAAAGAAAGTATGCTCTCATAATATTTTGCGTTTTTCTTTCGGAAAACTGAGAATATATTGAGTAAAAATTTAGAGAGGTTTCTTCTTCAGTGAAAAAAGAAATCAGAAAACTTGATAAAACGAGGGGGGTATGAATTCTGCGAACTTTATCCCGTATAAAATTCACAACTCAATCATCAGTTCCTGTACACACGACTATAAACATGAATACGACCGCTGGATTATGATGGCATAACGATTGTTTTCAAGATCCCGATGCAATTGCGACGTTTACGTTTGCGTCTGCGAAGAATGTATATCCAAGAGGTAATTTTTCCTCTGCAAAGCACGTCTCAGAAACGTGAACGTATCATAAATCTTAGATCTTCATGTTTTTTTCTTAAAGTCCTTATCTTAAAAAAAAAAAAATACAAATAAATCTTGTATCTATATAAAATTATTTTCAACAATTCTTTATTGTAATATATAATGACTATGATATATATACTCTTATCCTTTAAATAATCTTACTCGGAAACTTCAGAGTTTGCGACTCCTTTAATTCTGTCAGGACTTGTTTTCCTAATTAAAACGATGTTGTGTGTTAAAACCCCTTAATTTCGAATTTATTATCGTTATTATGACTTATATCACACCTTCTTTACTTCATAGCGTATACGTAATAACGACGTCCGTGTACTTCAATATGATGGCCGTGATCGGTGTCCCTCGATGCGTGCGTGTACGATACACACGCGCGTATTCTCGCGCTCGCACGGTGTGTCGCG